ACTTGGAGATGTATATTTTATATTTTATATTCAGGCGCTGCTGGAATGTTGCATATATATATGGAAAGTGCATTGGTGAAAAGCTAAATTCGCCTCTTTGTCTTAAAGTTTTGTTATCACCGACCTTCATTATCAATTTCTAAATAAACTTATAATTATTATTATAGCCATATATGTAGTTACTTTTATTTCAAGCTCGATGGGATAGATGTGTTTAAAATAATCACCAAACTTTATAAAATAAGGAAATGTGATATGGTTGCAATTAAACAACTATCCATCAGAGTCCAAATGACGTGGATGTTTAAGCAGCTATAGGTCACCATACGACATTCAACAATGAGCAAATTCCCAAACCGTATTGTCAGATTAAAAAGTCCCCCACATGACAAAATGTAAAACAATTTAAACGAAACACTAACAAAACAATAATCGAAAAACAAATATAACAGACAGAAAAAGACATAAAGTATCGATACAAGAGTATTCGCAAATTCTGGAAGCTAGTTCAAGGCGAATAAATACTCAACCATGTTCTCCCAGACTACAGAAATGAAAATAACACTGTCAATTTTATGCGTCCGAGGCGCTTTTATGGATTTACCTTTATCAGGAACACCCAAAGTCAAATATTGTGAAGCCAAATATGTATAAGACCCGAAGCTTGTGAAGAGCTATATGACCAAAAGGCACATAAAAATAATAGTAAAATCCTTCTAAGGCCAATTTTTTCTGGGATAGTTGAAACCTTAGCTTCTTAATAATTAAAAATTTGATAAACGGGCATTTTAAGAAATAGCAAAGTATCAATCAGTACACATCAAACAAATTTAGTGTAAAAAAGTCATAAAGTCTTAGAATAGCACACCCTTGCGCAATGCTAAAAATAGGTGAATACCATCGACAGGATGAAGTACCATAATATTTCATAGATGAATAGTTATACATATTTAGTGATGTTTTAATTTATCAAAAACAAAACAATGCTATAATACTGATGACAAATATATTCAAAGATCTTACAACGGTGTTAAAATGATATTCTATAAGAATAAGTTTATTCAAAGGATCATGAAACGTATGAAACTTTTGTGCTTTTTAAACAATATTGCCTTAGAATTAGGATGTGATATTGCATTTTTAATAAGAATTCTGAAAGCACAGCATAACTTCAAAACCAAATCTTTGTATCTATGGAATTAGTAAACAATTTAAGTAATTAATGGTGACAAAATCCCTGGCCCAACAATTTACCAGTTAGATAAAGATTACGGTCATTGAAATCTAAAACGTCATTACGGACATGAACATATAGAACGAGTTTGGAAATATACACACCGTAAGAAGGGACCATAGCAACATCACCGTCCAAAAAAGGAAAATTAACAATTGGAAAGAAAAATCGTCTCTTTTGTCGAAATTTTATTTATGATTTTAAATGTATAAATGAAATATCTAAACATTGAATTGTTAAGTGAGGAGAGACCATCTTTATAACGGAACTTGAAGTTAACGGATAATGCTAGCTACTTATCATTCTATTTGGAAAGGTCATATATGAAGTTTGCCTCATATGAATAATGAAGTTTGCTTCATATGAATAAAGGAAGAAGTCGACAAGAATAGGGGCACAGTTGGATCTCATAGAAATGTCAATTGTCTGTTAAAAAACAAATAAAAAATGTTGTTAATAAAAAAAACTCCACTATCTTGATGATGTTAGATTTAGATATTTTGTTTGTTTGAATCATGGTTAATTTGTATAAAGTATGATAAATCCCTTCCTAAATCAAGATATTTGTTTCTACGTTGGCATTTCATTTTTCATGGATCAAAGCTTGGCATATTTTTACAATCTATCTTTAAGTTTAGTTAGAGGAATACTAGTATAAATGGTAGAGAAATCAAATGTGTTATACTATTGCAAGAGGAAATAGACCTAGATTGTGGGTTCTCCAACAGATCTTTGTAATTTGTTCATATCTACATATGATTCACACTGCCCCAAGAGTAGATAATTTCACAGGAACTCTGAAGCCCGGTTTTGATTGCTGATAAAAATAGATGTTTATAATTTGGAAAGAGCTTTCGTAGAGCATTTAGAAGACCTGACAATATAACTTTGTTTGTAATGACACTTATGTAATTATCGTATCCAGTACCGAAAAGGAAGATCGGTTACATAGAATAGACCCATGATTCTTCAGGATTTCCTCTTTGATAAGTGTCGTGGGAGAATATGTTTTCAAGTTAATTGTCAATGCCTAAATTCTTTATCAAGAAATTTGTGTAATGTAAGTTATGAAAAAAACCGATGTTATTTTTTCGTATCTACGTCTGGGCCCGTATGCATAAAAGCTACTTAAGTTAAGATTTTCCTTAGTAAATACTTAAGTTAAGGAAACTCCGCCCTTTTTACCTAAGTGGTATGCATAAAAATTCTTAAACCAAGTATTTCCTTAGTAAAATCTTAGTTGGTTTAAGTCACGCCGACAAAATTAAAGTGGGATGCATAAAACCTCTCAAACTAAGAAAACTCCTAATATTATACTTAAGTATAAGGTACCTATAGAGCTACCTTAAATTTTCAAAAAAAAGAATAAAATAGTCGAAAGTATGCGTTTTTGCAGAACATGGAGTAGATTAGCTACCATTTAATTGATTAATAATTATATCAGTAATATTTCGTTGTTTTATTGCTTAATATTAATGACCATTGTAATTTTCTAAAGAATCACATATAATCAACAAAATCAAGATATAACAGAAAGTATTTATATAGTATATCAATCTCGCTATTATGTATTCCGAAAAATACTCACAGTTTTACACGCTACTATTTTTCTTTTGATTCCTGTGTTCGTGCATGCTTACATAAAAATACACCGCCTGGTATCGATTTTTAGTACAAAACAGTATGAAAGAAGCGATGAGGATCTTTATGTATATCCTGTTTTCTTGGGGGATTTGGGGGGGGGGGGGTGGAGGGGGAAGGGGGAAGGGGCCTTCTTTGGTTTAATTTTCAATTATATATTTCTTTTTTTATATAAAAATATAGCGCAAATTTCCCTTCAATTGATTTCACTAACTGGGACAAAATCAGAAAGCTTTTAAGACCTACGCCATGGAATTCGAATTCAAAATAACATATTCATGATTCTTAAAAAACTGCATTCGATTATTTTCACATTTCCGTAAATATTCAGTGATATATTGCTGTTAACGGAAATATTGCAAATTTCAAATTTTGCATAGATTGAAGACTTCAACCTAATAAAGTATAGTGTATCTGAAAAAAAAATTATGTAGTTACTTTAAACAGAATATTGGATTCTGTTAAGAATGTCCTTCTCGACAATTAATGGATACTTGCTCAAATTTTTCAAAAAACTAGCAAGAGTGCATGCATTTTTGAGCCATCTTTAGGCATTGATAACTTTCAAATGAAATATTCGGAAATACGCTAAGATGTTGATTAAAAATTATGTCGGTGAACATATAAATCGAATAATGTGTGTTTGAGTAAAGATTAAAGGACATTTGAAAAATGCCCCTGTTCTGATATGAATTCATGGAAAATTGATCCTACCTCCCTTTTTATTGTTGTAAAAGGGAAGTGATAAACAGTGTTATTTTAAATCGAAAAAGGTCTTACATTGTTAGAGTTGAAAAATATATCGGTTGACTCTAGAAAATAAACATGCCTTATCATCCAGCAAAACCCATGATAGATGAATGGTTGGTGCCTTAAATCGGACAAATCTAATACGATGACTGTTTGGAACTTTTTTTTAATATTAACAGGATGATTTGCTACAAGATAATGTTCAATATCCGTTTAGCGACTCCTCATGTGATTGAAGTTTTGTTTGCTATCAAAAAATGCTAGTGGATAATTTCGAAATATTTTGTTGTTTTACATCTATCATTCCAAGCATAAGTTGTCCCACTTCTTTTAGATCTCTAAATAATCTCCTCGTGGAATTTTCTGTACTCATTATATTGTTATATATTTGTTATTTCTTTTCATCCCCAAGGATGACTGGCGAATATAAATATGGTCACTCTAGTCAGAGACATATATATATACATGTATATATATATATGTCTCTGCTCTAGTCTAATTCCTACCGGCATTAAAACCCTTGACAAAGTGAGGCGTCCGTTTAGCTGTGCGGGATGTAGAAGTACACAGCCACGTCGGGTCAGAATGGAGACGTTAAATCCGATGCCTCATGTAGAGAGAGCACCACGCTCTCTGCACCTAAAGAACATCCGAAACAACTCTTTGAGGGGTCTGTAGGTAGCCTATTGCAAGGCAAAATGTCTGTCAATATTCAATATACCTTCATTTTTCAGTGGCAGTCCAAATTTTCCAGGCCTTCGTCCCGGACAGCATCTATTACAGGATCTGCCTATTGTATTTATTGTTAATTTGTTCTCGTACTGATCGTGCATGAAATATTTGCCACTAGACGTTAAGCAAACATCAATAAATCAATCAATTTCCTTCCAAGCCCCTTTCGTCTCTCCTGTAGTAACAGTAGGAAGGAGTTTTGCATTACAAATATTTTTTTCAATCCTTGCTCGTCCATCAAAACAACCATTATTCTTAATACCCCTAGTTCTTAATACAAGTATATTAGGGGCCTCGGTGGCCGAGTGGTCTAAGTAGTTACTACTGTAATCACTAGCCAGTCAACACTGAGGTTGTGAGTTCGAACCCCGCTCGTGCGGGTGCACTCGACTCCAATCTTAATTGACTAGGATTGTCAGTTTTCCTATCAAAGGTCGGTGGTTTTCTCCGGGCACTCCGGCTTCCTCCACCAATAAAAACTGGCCGCCACGAAATAGTCCAAAAGCGGTGCTTAAAAGTGGCGTTAAAACACAAAAAATCAAAAAAAAATCAAATTAATACAAGTATGTATTGTTCAATCAATGTAAATAATCAAAACAAACTTTTGCACGGATGAGTACATGCGATGAGCTAACATATAGCATACGGTAATTAGAGGAAGGTTCCGATTAAAGTATCATGATTCCGTAGTTAAGTGAAGACTTTTAGTAACTTTAAGCATACGACTTAAAGAATTTTACTTAACTAAGGGAATTCTTAGTGAAATCTAAGTTTAAAGAACACTTAAGTTAAGATGTTTTGTACATACGGGCCTTGATCTACACCTCCCCTCGAGAATATAGTTTCACAGGTACTGTGAAGCCAGAACAAGGAATTATTGCCATGTTTGAGGGAGAAACATTCCTTATTTTCAAATTATTTTTTAAATTTTATTAACTCAATTTCATTAAAAAGCTAGGTACAGAGCTACTGCTGGTACTGGGACTAACAGTCCACCAGCAGATTATATTATCAATCCACTGGCAATAATAATCAAACTGTTCACTGTACAAAATATACTACACCAGATGCAAATTTCGACAAATAATGTCTCTGCAGAGATTTTCGAGGCACAACTATTTGAAAGTCCAACACCTTATAACGTATTAAATGCAATTGGTAACAAATCAGGTCCCAATATATATGAACATGTATATACTGGGGTGAAATCCGGCGGTATTTTCCTTTGAATACTTATATATAACATGAGATATGGGATGTTTGGTATGCCTGTTGGCTATTCATTTGAAATTTGAGTAGAACAAAATGGTTATTTTGGAATGTCTATCTTAAGAGCCGTGAATTCGCAGCAAGTCTGGGTATCCCAAATATAGCCCTACATCATTCACGAAAGAGGAAATTTTAGGAAATCACAAATCCGTCTTTCTTTTCTTATGTATTAACAGGAAATATAACGATGAAAATATCCAGTCTTATGTCGACGCACCCGGTCTCGATTTTATTGAAGTTCATATGATTCTCTCAGCTTTTGTATGCAACCTTTAAAATGTGAACATCGGTAGACTAATGTTGCTTTCATTAGTATTGCATACCTCTACTTCACAAAAATCCTTGTAAAGAAAGATATATAAACGGGTCGTCTAGATGTTCGACTAAACATCTTTCTCTAGTTATTACTACCATTCTTTTTACAGTAAAAGATGACCTTCTGAAGAGGGACATAAAGGGGGTATCTGCATGGAAGAACGCGAAATAAAATTGCCATTTCACGATGAACGAACAATTAAAAATTTCTTGCACGTTGATCTTTTTTCCGATTTCACGAAACACGGTGAATAACGAACCCTTTTCACGGCTGCACGTGAAATAAAAATGGCAAAACACGTTGCACGAAAATAACCCTTTACCACCCTCTCTGAAACATTGGGATGAAATATATGCAACCAATGGTGTCAATCAAACTAAAATTTTCTATCACAATCTTGACAATTTTGCAGTAAGAGTTAGCTTATACTACGCTCTACACTATTATTCCCTATGCTCAATTGAAAGATCGACTACATCGTCTCATTGGAATTTTTTAACATAAAAAAATTATATGTTGAGCTTGGATCTGATGATTGATATTCCAACAGACAGTCGGTATTCCAATTGCCACTGATTGTGCCGACTTCTCAAAGACAAAAGGAAGAAGCATCTTAACATTTTGTTTCATTTCACTTTCAGATATATTAATTATGTCCTGTCACTCAAAAACCCACATGTAAGTGAGTGTGGAAAATAACGTATCTAGAAGCTAATGTATGTTCACACTATATGGCCTTCATTAACATGGTGTGCTCCTGACAGAAAACAATCAGTTTTGAGAAAAAACTACTGAAATTGTCATTACAATTAAAAAGTTTGACGTTACCAATTGGTTGACCGATACGATGTGTCTGTGGCCCAACTGAGTGTGATTCGAATGGCGGTTGATGCTTGCATAGCAGAAGATGTTTACAATGTCGACGCACCCGGTCTCGCTCCTTCTTGAATTCATGCGAATCCCTCAGTTTTTGTTTTTTTTATCTTGATTTGTTTTTTCTTAATGGATATGTAAGATTTCAACATTTGTTAAATTCTGTTGCCTTCTTTTACGTTCTAGTTTTTGTTATTCTTAAATCGTTTGTTACTTATTTTTTAACCATTAGTAACTTGAATCACGGTGTTTTCTTTTCTCTTAAAACCCACCGTAAGCACTATATCATACAAGAATCATAGCGTTGGGAAATCTGTGTATTGTTGGTGTAATTTCAACTATCTTAAAGACATGTCATTTTGTTCAATAGATTTGATGTATGTGATATTGATTTTCACTGGATGTTACAGATGTTTGATACGTCCTGTACAATATTATTGTAGAAAACTGAAAAAGAAACATAATTATGATTATCATATCATCAAATCTTATGTATAATTCAATGTAAAATTACGGTAATATAAAAAATTAACCAATCTTTCTGAGTTCTAGTTGATAGGAAATAAAAAAAAAGAGATCACTTTAATTAATAAGTTTAAAAAAAAGAAATGCAGAAACAATTTAAACACAAATGAAAAAAATATGCTCTTATTGCACAAAATACTCAAGATCGTGGTTCCAGTATAGACAGAATTATATGCAGAATTTATGGACATATGACACGACTTTGTCAAAAAAAAATGTAGTGTGAGCTATTTCGCACTACTGTATATCCCGCATGAATGAAAGGACTTGACGGAAGTTAACCAGAAGATCCCTCCTTTAAAGCGGGAGTATATATGTATGTACATTTAGCAAAAAAGGATCATAGAATCATTTAATCTTAATATCTATGGTGAGTTTTTTTATAGAAAGGTATAGACTTGTCACATGGTCTTATTCTATAACATATATCGCATGATTTTATGTTTGGGTTGACAAACAATGAACTTCCTTCAAGTATCAGAACAATTTCAAAGCCTACTTGAATATTGTATAAAAAAGGATCATTTAATATTCAAAATACGTTCTGCTGAAAAATGTTACAAGTAGTAATACCAAATCTAACCTCTAAGACAAAAACTGGACAGAGAACAAAATAAATACTTTTTTTCGACTATAGCGTTCAAGAAACATATAACAAGTACTTTTAAAATCATAGATAACTAATAAAACCTGAAAATATGCCCTCGAAAGAAATAAAAAAGATCTTCATATATGGTTATATGATGACTTTAGTTTTTATTTGGTGTTATCTTACATTCTTATTGGGATATTTCATTCTGTGTGTCTGTGTTAATTCATGATTGTATAGTTTGCTCTTTAATAAAGCTCTTCTTTGTAAAAAGTGTACTATTGGTTTAATGTATTAATGTAGACGAATGGCATGGAAATGATATTACTAGTTCAAGCTTTCCATTGTTAGTGTCCGATGAATCTTACCTTCATTAGCCTCACAGTGTGCATTAGCCTATACGATGCCCCATCCTTTAAGAAGTGGCCAGAACTGATATAAATAATCTGAAAATGTAAGTATTTCAAGGTCACTTTTATATGAGTTTTCCTTCGAGTTTTAAAAAAATACGCAAAATAGACGTTTGTGGTATTGACCCCTAAACAAGCCTCTGTGATCCATCCTTAGTTATAGAACCATTTAATTGTTTTTTTTTCAATTAACAGATCGTGTATCTATCTAAATTTAAGTTTATATTGTAAAATGATATTTATTCATAGTTGGACCTTTGTGTGCCATGAACACGTATCAATTAACTGTAACAAAACGATCAGCAAAATAAAAGACTAGTTAGTACTCACATCCAACTTGTTTAACTTTCTTGAGAAATTTTTCATATTTAGGTGGTTCATCCTTGAAGTTGTCACGAAAGTATTGGTATTCCACTCCGCCTTGTTGGTAGGGTTGCTGGTTCAAGTACTGCTCAGGCTGATGATGATGTCCATTTTGAGACATGGTTTGTAGTTGATTAGTATACTGAGGAAATTGCTGTTGGATTTGTTGGATTTGCCCAGTAGTCAGATCTAAATTTGGTAGTTGATTTTTCATGGAATGAAGTTGTTGAAGTAGAATAGTTTGTTGTTGGTTGAAATCTGATTGATGAGACTTTTGATTGCTGTATCCCAGAGTGTTTGTATACTGTTGATTATTTTTACTGAGCGGTGATTCTGGGTGTGACACATAACTTTCCTGGAAGTTCTGGTCCTGTATCACATAGGCATCAACTGACAAACCACAACTAGCAATAGCTAGTGTTACTGTCCATAGTATCAGATGGCTTAATGTCTCCCTGTGGAAAATATTATATATCTGTATAAATACTCAATATAGAATCAATTTATCAATATTGACATTGTTTCATCAGAACAAATGTTTCAAACTAGGCTGAACAAAATAAAAAATTGATATAAAGCATATACAAAAATGTTGCATAGATTGTGTTTATTAAAATTTCTCACGGAAATAAAGGCAACAGTAGTATACCGCTGTTCAATAGTCATAAATCTATTAAGCGAAAACAAATCCGGGTCACAAACCAAAACCGGGGGAAACACATCAACTATAAGAAGAAAACAACGGAACAACAGAAACACTGAACGGCAACGCCAACAAACATAGAAACGGACTATTTGATAACAACTGCCATACGGAACAACAGAAACACTGAACTGCAACAAAAACAAACGCCAACAAACATAGAAACGGCCTATTTGATAACAACTGCCATACGGAACAACAGAAACACTGAACTGCAACAAAAACAAACGCCAACATACATAGAAACGGCCTATTTGATAACAACTGCCATACGGAACAACAGAAACGGCCTATTTGATAACAACTGCCATACGGAACAACAGAAACGGCCTATTTGATAACAACTGCCATACGGAACAACAAAAACACCGAACTGCAACAAAAACAAACGCCAACATACAACTGCCATACTAAAATGTATGATAAACAAAACCACTTTTTCTCTCCAGCCGTAAATTTTCCTTTCATCCAAGATAATTTTCCATGTGTGGGTGGTTTTTTTTTTTTTTTGGGGGGGGGGGGGGGGGTTGTACATTTTCCATGTTCGATATATACGTGTCGTTTTGTTTTCTTATTGTTTTGATGGGTTTTTTTTTGTGGTTCTTCTTCTCCCTTTTTTATGGGGGATGTGTCATGTACTTCTTTCTGAATTGAATCTTCTTGTAAGTACGTTTTGTTAATCCATTTGTGTTAAAGATACATTTTTTTTACACTCGGGGTTTATTGACCTTGTTACCTTGAATAATCACCTGTTTGTTTTTAAATATTTTATTTTGCCCTTTAGATCACTTTTGTTTTATTTTATTTTCGTAGGTTACTGTTTCATTGACATACATCTATTTTTATTCATATGAACACCTCACAAAGATTAAATACACCACGTTTTGTTGACCTACAACATATAGTAACAGAGAATCTGACATAATCCTAGGTCTACCAATGAACGACCAATGAACTATGAATAAGGTGTCCTATTACATATAGTATCTGAGATACTGACCAAATCACGAAACCTTAACTTGCCAAGTGATCCATGAAAAGGGGCTTAACATGGTATACTTATTCGTTGAAACTGGGCTTTGAACCAGCTTTCAGTATCGGTATTTTCAATCCTTTGTGTTTTTATTATTGGTTTTGTGCTTAGATCTGACTTTATGAGGTAGGTACTTTCCATAAATTATGCAGAAAATACCAAATGGACAATCAAAAATCATACGTCAAAGAAAATACGACAACACCATAGCATTAAAAAAAAACCAAGCATGTGACAGTTGTTGTTTGTTGCTGTCTGTCATGTTATCTTTTATTGTACCATTGTGAAGATAAGGTTTTTGGTTTCTCTTTTGAATTGTTTCCCATTTCGTCATTCCAAGGATTTTATAGCTTTTGTATGGGTTTGGCTAATTGTTGGATACTTGTAGATATTCACATCCTTTGTGGTTTTGGTAAATAGTTGTTTGATAAGCAATCATGACACATCTCCTTAATTTTATATCAAGATCAGATGAACTCTGCCAGAATGATAGGAACACAGAATGATTCTACGCAACAAATATAGGTTACCTATACTTATGGTAACTGAGAATCTGGTGTAATTCAGAAAACACTGAGAATCTGATGTAATTTCCCCAAAACACTGAGAATCTGATGGATCACTAGTCCACATGATCCATGTAAATGAGGTCAAATTCAGCCAAAACATGCCAGATGGACAATAGTTTCATGTTACACATGGGTGGTAAGATCTAAATATGTATCAAATTATATGACAACTCATAGGAGAATTCGAACTCTAATAACAGGAGAATTGCCATAATTGATGAGGTTGCGCAGATATGTTACATTTAGATTTTTGTTGAGTTGAAGACAAAAGCAACGCTGACATTTAGAGTAAGGTAAAACAATATTGATCAAATCTTTTGAAATATAAAATGTATGCAAGATAAAAACATTGAAACGTTTCAGTGATTTTTTTGTTGTGATACTGGAATACATTTAATGTCGGTGTTTAATATGTGATCATAAGTAGGTTATGTATATCAGGAGATAGAAAGTGAGATTATCGAAATTGTTTAAAAGCAGATTTGCATCAACTCTAAAAGACTTTTTTTTTAATAAAAAGCAACTAAATTAAAAATTAGATTGTTAAGCATGGTTACAAATCTGAAAGCGACATTAGTTTGATACCTAACACCGGCATTTTCTTTTTATTTTGTACCTAGACATCGGCATTTTTTTTCAATTTTATACCTAGACACCGGCATTTTTTATGTAGGGTCCCGAAGCTACGTCCAATCAATTTATTAGAGATCATTCGAGTTGCAACTCATTAATACTGTCCTGATTACAGCTTAAAGTTAAGGAATTATATTCAACTTTTTTTGAAATTTGAAAATAATACTCAACTAATTTTATATTATATTTTGCTAGAGCAAATTGTGATATTTGGCCATACTGAAAACTTAAAAATGGCTGTACAATATAGGCGAAATATCATAGTAGGTTGTAAATAATTGATTTTGATGTAAATGAGATATTTCATTTTCTATATTTTGTAGTTATCCTTTTTCAGCAATATTTGTATTATGTTGTCGAGCAGTTCTGTAAAATATCAATATCAAATGAAGTTTCTGAAATACTCTCATATCTAATGTTATTAACCAAATAACACTAGAAAACCATAAAAAAATGAAATATGAATAAAACATATATATAAAAGTGTTATTTTCTCACCTTTGTGGACACGACATCCTACATGTACCAAAGGCCAAATATAACACCAGATCTAAATACACTGCTATGTCCTGTGGACATTTCGTTTCTTGCTTTCACAAGGTGTTACGTGTATGTATATTGGATTTTATCATATAAGGTCTGATATATTTTACACCGTTGAGGAGTTACATCGCGTTGCACTGTATTGTGTGCAATTATACAAGCCAGAACATATCTTAATTTTCAAGTTCTGAATTTTAACTCTTTCTTTTTTCCCAGTTAAACTCTTTAAAAAAAATTTAAATTAGTAATTTTAATTATTAAATCGTTACTTAAATAAGACTGTTTTGAAATTCGTCAAAGAAGTTAGACAATTTCCCTTGTATTTGTTTCCCGTACATGGTAAACATTCAAAAGATGTCAAATCCTACTGAAATGTGAATAATGAAGAGTCTACATCACAAACTTATAACATTTTCAACAATAATTATAAACATAAAACCAAAAATTTGTATTGTGAGATCTCATTGACTCAAAATTGCAAACTTAACATTTCTTTTGTGTGTGTGAAATTTGGCATCGAAGGACGACTAAAATGAATAATGTGTATCAGAAAGACAATTTATAGATATAGTTTGGTTAAGAATAACCTGATAATATTGTTCGGGATAAAGATTCGAAAGTTGCTAAAATTTACCTAAATTGCAATCTTGAGCTATCTTCAGATATCATAATTTGGTGATCTGTTTAAACACAAGCTATTATGATGTTAGAACCTGAAATTACCACACCGGGGCACAGAGCTGTGATTATGTTGAAGTATGAAAACTGTTGATTTTCGTGATATTCGTGACTACTCGTTTTGGCCTGCACGTTGCTTCACTGATAAGCACCAAAGTTTCCCCCAGTTTGTTGGACTCCTAATGCTGAATTCATAGTGTTCTGTACCAAGATTTTGGACCATGAATTGTCTTAACTCGTTTTTAATTAGCCAACGGTTTTTTTTGTCCTTTAATTCATGATTTTTATTTATTTATTTTGGATCTTTTCCTCTGTTTTCCCGATTGATATGAAAAAAATATCGGATTTTTTTTTATTATAGAATTCGTGATTAAGTGAAAAAGTTTACGAACACTTATACCTATATGCTCATTATTGTAAAAAAAGAGTTTCAATTCCAGGTGTAATATCTCTAATTTATATATTGCATGGAATAAGAAATTGGTTGATACTAGCTTCAAATGCGTCCCCATTATAACCAATATTACTTAATTCCATATCTAACCCAGTATAAATTAGAGTTTAGCGGGTTTTAGGAACCTAACCAGAGATCAATGACCCTACAACACGTGAATTACTTTTTAGACACGTGTATTTAAGACAATTAGATCCGTAAAATTCAAATTTTAGCAATCTAATCATTAAGAATGACTACAACCTCAGAAAATACTCTATAAAGTAAAGCGCACTTGTTTTATGATAATATACGGAATAGTTCGATTTAAGGAGAGAAAAATCGGATTCTGTTTGATGGGTTAAAGGAGTTCTGATTTTCGGAATAAGATGTATTAAAAATTTCAGTAAGCTGGTAAAAAGACTTGCAGGATTACATAGCTACTTTTTTACATGTCCCTTTTTAGCCCTACAACTTCACAGTACTGACACTACCTTATTTTATTAATGCAGTACGGACGTGGTAATTCAAAACTATTGTACTATTCTAGTACAAAAAAAAATTGCAATTCTACAAATCTGAACAAAATTGTACTTTCAATTTATAGTACAATGAGGGTACAATAACTGGTAGGAATCTTTACTGAAACTGCAATAATTTAAAAGCACTGGACTGTTACAAAATTGTTTTGTACTTAAAAAGTTCTACACATTAAAAATGTAAAACTGTTACTTTCTATTTGAAGTACAAATCTAGTACTCTGAAATCATGGTACTGAAAAAATACAATTTCAAAGTACACGTACTGTAAAAGTACTACATTATCTAGGTACGTTTTCAGCACTTCAAAGTT